GCGAATTCACCCTCGACTTCATTGAAGACGGAAAAGAGAATATCACGTCTTGTCTCAAGGGATTTTTGAAGTAAAGGCTGCCACATTAGAAAAGTAAAGGTAATGTCAGAATATGAAGAAAGTGATGGAGGTACTATTAGCTTTCGCAATTGATAATTCTGATAATACCTCTCCATTGTAATATAATATGTCAAACCCAAACACACAGACTGTGACCTTGATATCTTCATGCTTGACATCTTTTCGTTTTCTTGTTGTCAACACTTGGAATGGTAATATACTTTTTTTCTCTTTATCCCATGCTACTACTTCGCAATCGAGTACAAATGATTTTGTTCCTTCCTTAATAAACTTTTGATAATAGCATGATTAGCGATTATATCAAGTTATCACAAGTAGTTAAATTAGCTAATATACCCGCGCAACGTTTTTAATAATGTCGGGAAATTTCTGTGAGTTGTCTTCAAGATTACGAGAGAATATTTTGATTGTACCGTCCTCCAACAGATGAATCTAGGAGAAATCAATGGACATTAAGTGAGACTAGATATTTCACGTTTATTTTACCATAGGAAACGGACGGTGCAATGATGTTTATAAACACAATGACCAGACACCATACTTGTCCTCGTTCACCATCATATTTATATTCACACGTGAACTTGTGCCCTTCCACTCTGTCAAGAACTTCAGTAATACTTTTTGTTGGGTGGGCCAACATTGGTTTGCACGGTATACCTTAATAAATGAAGGATATTAGTAGAAATATCGCAATCGAATACACGTACATTAGCAGTTATTACAGTACCAGGTGTTAATTTACAGTGTTCCCTCAGTCCATCGACGCCATGCTTTAATAAAACAGGAACAATAATATCGTACGAAGGAAGCTCGCTGTATACGGCTTTGAGCACATTGGGTGCCTCGGCTAATTTGGCAGTCTTATCGTTTTTGGACATGGTTTTGTATTCAGAATTGTTCATAACGGTAGCTTGAGCAAGACTTATTAACACTGTAGCTTCAGCGAGACCAATTCTTAGCTTTCCTTCAAGTGATCTAATAACAATTTGTTAATAAATTACTATTGATGGTGCAGCGCGCACATACGACAAGCTCCACACTCACCGTACTAAATATTTTGCCTCTTCGCCACTCCTACAACTAGACATAAGTGCAGCAATGGATTGAACCTTCCTCTCAATTGAATCTGCTCCAGAAGTCAAGGCAATCTTTCGGAACGCCTTGAACACGGATGATACAGTCATTGGCTTGGGCGTAAATAGTGTTGATTGAGCTTTTTTGCTAGCTTTGGCAACAAGTCCCAAATCGCCAGTTTCGCTATACTCTTTCCGAATGGCTTGTACTTTGCGGCCAGTCGACATCGCAATTGCTTTCATTAAAGAAGCTTCACCAATGCCCAGTTCTAGCCCTTCAAATTCTGGGCATATCTAGATTTGAGAAGACAGTAAGTGTAAATGTTCTCAGCGCTAGCCGTCAGTAAGATGTCAGAGAGTTCTATTTATTAATGAATTTCCAGACGACTCACCCGATTTATACATAAATATATCACTTCAAGCAAACTATCAGGACTTTTTTCGAGAATGCGCAAAAAGAATGTGGTCATTATCTCCTGGATTTCTAAACGTTTTGAAGTTGCCTCAATCTTTTCATAAGCATTAACGAGTGCCGCGTATGGAACACTGGTGAATATCAATGTTATTAATGCATTGTAACTTCAGCAGGCTTTTACCGTGCGCCTTTAATTCAAAATTACAAATGTTCGACTCACCTTTCACCCGCCTTCCAATCAATGTCAATATTTGCCGATATATTATTAGAAGCCCTTAGATCGATAGACGGTGGTAAGATAATTCCCGTTACTTCCCACGTATGAAACACGTAATTCAGCATTCAAAACTCACTCACAATAGGACAGCAACAGCATTAATTGTGCCCTCTTCTTTCTTGACAATCTCCTCAGTGCCCACGTCCTCTGAATTAGTGGGAAGATCTTCAGCTGCATTATTAACAGGCATTAATTCGAGGCCCGGTCAAGGTCAAGCATGAGCAGCGAGC